GAAACAATTTTTACTTTGTAAAACAATAAATAATGATTGCTTTTATTAATTGTATGACGAGTTATACACTGTTATACTGTGTTGTGGCTTCGCAGCTTTAGTGTGGAGTTCTGTGAAAGGTCGGACTAGTTTCAGTGTTGAATTTTCGTCAGGGTGGTGGGATTTTCTTTTCCGAAGGGCTGTTTTTATCATCATTATTTTTTTCTCGTCTAGTTGTATCTTCTATGTCACATTCCTCAATCTCATGGTTTGATTTGCTAGGTTGCTAATGTGATTTCGCTGTATTCTGTTATGCTTTGTTCAATTATCACGCACACGGCAAGTTATTCTGTGTCGTCCGTAGTGTCCTGTTCGAGCGGAATTAGTTCGTACGTGTGGGATTCGAGCTGATTTGTTTGCGTTATTAAGTTCAACGGTATCGAGGTGACTGGTGTTGGGATGTTTCTTTCATTATTTGCTTCGGATGCACTGTCTCTTTTTTTGGCTGCTGACTTTTATAACATTTTCTTGCGTGACGTATCCTTGTGTCAAACTCTAAGTCATTTTATGTGTAGAAGCTTCTCAAGTACGAAAGAAGTATTACGTCTCTATAACATGAGTCGTATTGATCAGTTTTCCGTGACCTTTCAAATGAATCAAGTTCTTAAAATATGGTGTTTTTTATCATCTCTGTGTAGCTGGATGACTATCACCATAATTATGAATAATGAAAATTAGATGTACTATTTTTTGTGTTTCTGATTATCAGTCTCGTACTGCTTCTAGTTCTATCTGTTTGGGAAAATATTCTGGCAATATCAGTGATTAGTTTACCATTTGATGCAGAAATATTGTATCTCATTCAGATTTTACATAAAATTTTACGTGTTAAAATGTTAGCATTCAGTTTATTTCAGGGTGGACAAGAACATCTGTGTAAAAACCTTGCTCAATTACGAGATCGCGAGAGCATGCTTTCTAATTGCTTGCAAATATGCAGTGACTTGAAGGTTATGACTGAAGATGGTCGAAAAGTATTGAATGATTCAGAGGCTCTTGTACCATCTTATCAAGCCATGCTGGATGTGTTGACTGTTCATATTGAGAAAGCTGAAAATCTACTCAGTCGTTTTTCCTTACAGTCTCAGAATTCAGTTGTCCGGCAGTTGCAAGAGTTTTGTGATGATGCCAAGAATGTACGAACCGAAGCAGTGCGTCGAATAGAATTATGGGACCAATTTGTCAGTGAATGCAATCTGTCATGGAAGCAGCTGGATGATGTCCGTAGACCCTTGGAGAAAATTGAAAAACATGGATTGAGGAATTTCGATAAAATGCTTGAAGATTTAGAGAACTTAAAGGTTGTTTTCCCACATCTTCTTAGTTTTGTTTAATAAAATTATTTCGTTTTTCTCTTCACGCTACTGCACTGTGATTTACAAAATAGTAATTCAGCGGAGTGTAATTATCTTTGTTATTAGTAGATTATTATCTTTCTGTCTCATATTTGATTACTAAAGTGACAAAAAATAGTTTCATTACTTTTAGCGTATAATATATTAAATTTACCGCACACCAATATTCAATGTATTACTACAGGTTCTCTTTCTGAGATGCTCATTCCTCACAAATTTGCCATCGCAACTGCTGTCGCTAAGTTCACAGCTTTATCCTGTGACTAAGGTTTATCGCGAAGCAAAAGCAGTGAAGGAAAATGTTGAAGAAATTGAAAAAAGAATTGAGGTTTATTTTTTGCTTTTATGATATTGATATTTTAGAATTTTTTATGTGATTTTCACTACACATGTAGCAATGTGCGTGCTACATATAAACACGAACTTTTAAATCAATATTTTTTATTTTTTTTACAGACCGTTTATAATATTTGAACAGTTATGTTTGTAACTGATAGTATCGTGAACTTCAGAACTTACTGGATTCAATGTCGGCTGAATTCCGAGTGAGAGAAGAAATTGTGCGCTCATTACTCGTAATATCAGATGAACTAATCAGTACTGATAATTTATTGACTCATGGTAGTATATCACCTTGTAAACATGAGGTTTGTTTTATTTCAATAATAATTTTGAAAAAATTATGATGAAAGCTTGAAACTAGAACATCATCGTTGTTTATTTTTCTTTCATCAAGAATTATTCATGTTTCAGAGATTTTTTTTTCGCTGTTGTGTTGATTTATCTAATCATGTGTTCAAGTTATTTTGGAAAGTGTACTTTGATTTAATTTCAATTTAATAAATTGTACTGACTAAATGATATCATTTGAAGGAAATGCAGTTACAACTTGATGCCATTCGAGCACATTTAACGATGCTTGATGAAGATATTGATAAATACAACAGTAATCGGATATATCTGAATGGAGAAGAAGATATTTCCACAAAGCATAATTTTGAACGTTTAAGCGAAGTTGAAGAGACTTTGAAACGTGTGAAATTCGATGATAGAGTAGAAGAAGGGCACCTTATTAATGAAGCCGTAGAGGTTCTAACTGTAGAACGACCAGATGAACATCCTGGGAATGTTTCCAATATGCAGACAATCGGGGATGAATATGATTTGTATGATTTGAGCTCCAGTTCCATTGCTAGTGAAGACGATGAAAGCAGCAATTTCCAAACACCGCCTAATGAAGTAGTTCTTATCTATTTGACTATAACCCATGTTAATAATATAATTAAATGTGATGATACATATTCTGTGAAAATTGAATGTAAACAACGAGTAACTAAAATTATAAATCTTTTAAAGTTTTCTGAGAAGCTTAAATTAGCGAATTTCAACTAAAAGAAACAGGAAGCTCATCGTTTACAACAAAATTCAGTGCTTATTAAGTTATAAGGTAGTGCATTTGAGTTTAGATGCTAGACAAAATGTGGTAATGAGTGTGAAGATTTGCTGTCAAACATATTCAGTTCTATCTTAGGTCATGCACCACATGGTGAAAGCAGAATTCATGTCAGTCATTGATTATTTGCGTTTTTAAATTATTAGGTGCGGTTTCTTGTTAACGAAAGAGAAAGCGAAACCAATGCGCCATCCGCCAATCTTGGTTTATCACCAGTACCTGAAGACCCGAATCCAAGGCAATATGAACGTCAGCGTATTCGATGGAGACGTATATTGCGAACCGCACTCCCTCTCCAGGTTTGATTCTGAATAACACTCACTTCTCACAACATTTTCCTGCACATATTCATTCTACTGAAAATCGTGATAATAACACAAGCTGCTTCCACTATATGTATATATATCCTATATATATAGGAGGTCCATTATTCATTCTAATGCAGTGATGCAGAATCGTGTTCTCGCTGTACTCACCCAGTACTCAGTACTGC